ACATACAAATACATATTTTATAAAATATTGCTCATAAAATTTTTAAACTTGATGAAATTTTCCTGGCACCACTGAGATCCTCCATCCACTAAGGGCAGTATTTCATCATCTAAAATGCAGTGTCACCTCCAATGGGAAACATCTACTGGCAGCCATGGAGTCAGCTTCAAGGTCTGGTCGGATAAAAATTTTGTTGGGACAAATACAGCCTCACTTTTCATCTTCCTAGGAATTCTCACTTCTATCTTTTCAAATCAATGTTCTATCTCAAAAAAATTATTTGTTAAGTAGAAAACTATAAAGAATACAAAAATAACAAATCAAGACAAAGTTGGGAGGCTTTAGAGAAAGTAGCATACAAATTAATATAGCTATTTCACACTGTCAGTCAAAAGCCTTAAGGTAATTATTGCTGATATCTCTGTTCCGTACTTCTCAGAGATGCCTCGTGGTTAGATTACTGACAATGTCAACAGTACAAACCCCAACTATAGATGACTGGCTAGATAAAATATGATACATCAATATGATAACATTTCTGTAAGTCATTAAGACCATCTTCCTTAAAAATAATTTAGAATATGAAAAAATCCTAAAGATATATGCTAAATAGGGCAGCACCTGTGGCTCAGTGAGTAGGGTGACATCCCCATATAGCCAGGGTGGCAGGTTCAAACCCAGCCCTGGCCAAACTGCAACAAAAAATAGCCAGCCATTGTGGCGGGCGCCTGTAGTCCCAGCTACTTGGGAGGCTGAGGCAAGAGAATCGCCTACGCTCAAGAGCTAGAGGTTGCTGTGAGCTGTGATGCCACAGCACTCTACTGAGGGTGACAAAGTGAGACTCCATCTCAAAAAAAAAAGATATATGCTAAATAAATAACTGACAGGAAAAAAATGTATCAATATAATTTCTGTGATAAATAATAAGAAAGAAAATTTACATGGTTATATTTGTATATAAAAAGCATATCCTACAAAGCGCTTCCTGGATATAAGAATATAAAGTCATTCTTTTACTTAGTTTCTGTTTTTTTCTTTAGGTATTAATTACAAAATTTTCATTTTAAAATAAGTATCTTAATATCCCAAAAATTATAGCTCTAAATCTATAAATGTTTGAATTATGCAAATTCTTACAAATATTAACCTTTCTAATATATCTATAAATAATTCTATAGATAAACAGCCCAATGTTTCATATACTATGTGGCATTAAATGAAATATTTCTGTGCTGTGAAACCATTTTGCCACTATTTTGATTACTTATAAGTAAGCTAATCTCCCAACTGAAAGTCAGCATAGCAATGGAAATATGATAAAATTGTACTTCTTTTTTCTATTACTGATATACAAAACTGAAAGTCCATTTTTAAAAGAACACATTTCTCAGTGATTTATGGAGGAAACTCCCTAATGCCAAAAGACAACATTTTTCTTATATATACCTAAAACCAAAATGTATAACAATTTGAAATCTTTCAAAAATAAAAATCCAATTTTCATGTCTTTCAATAATAGTATCACGTAAGCGAACAGTTTTCTACAAAATGTGATTATATTTTTATTTTGCCTTTCATTTTATTTAGGAATGACTCAGTGTTTAATCTTAAAGTTTATTAACTGTTTAAATCAGATAAATGCTTTCAAAATACCAATTTAATGATGCAGTTTCCAAAAATAAAGGAATAGGCCTAATAAAGTAGAAAAATTTCTTAATTTAAATTCTGCTAATTTTTAAAAATCAAGAGGAATTGTTTGAAAACGAAACGTTTTTACTAAGTTCATGAATCGTTTTGCATGGCACCCTCCCTTGCCCTCAATCCTCTAACAAATAGATTTTCCCCACCTCTGCGTACTACCTTTTGACAGTACAGTTTCTCTCTCTAAAATTCCCTTTCCTGCTGGCTATCCACCAGAACACTACCTATTTTTGAGGTGCAGTTTAAACCATACTTTGTAGGAGAAGCTTCTCTTCTTAATGAGAAATAAATTTTCTATCCACTAGTCTCCTTTGTATTAATGTGACATTGTCCTTGCTGCTGTTTCTTGAACCCCCAGACTGAGACTTAATGACTTCTGTACCCTCAAAAATAGAACATCTGAAACATCTTTTGACAAAGAAACATTTTCAGATAAAAACTTACATGTATCCCCAATATATTACAAGGTGCTTGAGAATTTCTTGGTTAGGTCTGCCTTGGTAATTTTGAATGCCTTTTAGTTAATCAGCATAAAGAATGAGGCTGTTCCCAGAGACATTTTAAATACGGGAATCCCAGTAACATTTACAAGCCTGTCTATCAGCTGTGCCTTTTCACTCACATCTGAATTTTCTTTAGGTAGTTGAATACCAAGAAAACCATGACTTATACAATTAAGTTGCAAATAGTGATACACTTTTAAAACCATGTCTTTCAACCTCAAGATCTTTCAAGTACATTGTCTCAGAAATACGGAAGAGGAGAAGGCCCTGTGGAGGTTGAACTGTGGTGGAGGACCTATCAAAGGGACACAGCTGGACTGTGATTAGCCAGGTGGCCAAAGGACAATTTTTTTGAGGGGAGGGGCATCATGAAAAGGTTACAAACATTTTATTTAAATGTAGATCATGTCATGCAAATGAACACATAGTTGCTGTTTTTAAACTATGGATAAACTGTTTCAATGTAAGTGAATGCTCCTCTCCGAATTTCTTAAAAACTTTCCTACAGAAATGACTTCCAATGCATCATCTATAAATTCTAGTGTCAATGTCCTTAATGCCTAACTTAAAGACACTTTAGAAAAACATTTTCTTGTGAAAATAATCTAAATTGCTATGATCATCTTTCTAATAATTTGCAATTACTTTTCTGCACCTAAATTAACCACAACTTCAAACAAAACGTCCATGGCATCGAACTCCCTTTTCTTAGAAAGAATATTTCTTAACACTCTTACACTTCACCAGTTTATACAGCATTTGACTCAACAATTATATGAACAATTAAATATTAAATCTTATTTCATAGTAAATAACAAAAACAACCACCATAAACAAGTTAGAAACAAATATAAATGATCTGGATTAACAGACAGCACAACCAGGGGAAGCAGGAGTGCACGGGCAGTAAATGGAGAAAATGGACCGCTTCACCGTCCCGTGAATCACTAAACGCAGATTTAGAGACCTTCTATTATACTAATTGTTTAATCATTTCTGGAATCCTATTATAAGTATAAAATACAAAGCAAACTTCAAATACCTGTTAACTCCATCTACATGCTTTTAAAACAATGCTGAATATTGTTCAAATAACCACAAGAAGAGCACTCGCCAAGCAGGTGTGAAGAGGCTTGACTGATGTTTGCTTGAGTTCTATGCAAGTGTGCTGAAGTCCTCCATTAATTAATTTAGTAATATTTATTTACTCCCCAAACATGGAGCAAATGTTTAGAAATGCTAGTTTCTAAAAGTATAATGATAAAGAAATCCATTCTTTTATAGAACTTATAAAGTAGCAGTCTCCAATCTTTTTGTTTACATATCTTTACCAGTAAAATACTTAAGGATTATCAATATCTATATTTTTATGTACATATATATTTATATAATTAAGCATATATATGCATAGGTAATACATATATGTATATTTATACAAAACTACACATCTATAATTACGTACATGTATAGGTGTATGAACTACAGTTTATACAGTAAACTGTACTTGCATGCCCCAACTTTAAAATCCATGGCTCTAAATTTGATAAAATTATTTTTCACTCCCACCATTTTACATAAAAAGACATGCACGGAAGTATTTTTTTTAAACATAACTAGCACAAAAATATAGTCCCTGCCCTCATAAGTTAACAAATTGGCAGGCATAACATTTTACAATGTAACATATAAGATTATTAAAATAGCAATTTAGGAAATGTTCTTACAGCTTCTGCAAAATCCTAGCATTTGTCCGCTCATGGTTTCAATAACTTTTCTCTCTGGTCTGGAACATAAAGTGTAGTGTCAGAAATACTCTCGTATTTATTACCTGCTAAATGTTATTTTATGGAGAATTGCTCCCGTAATTGTACTATAAACTATGCTCTTACACCTGATTTTCCAGTGATGAAGGATATTCGTCTCTATCTCTGAATTATAGACCCTTCATAATTATATAACAGAATCAGTTGTGAATCCATTAGACATTTATATCACCTTGTTGTTTGGGAGCAAAAAAGGAGAAAGAGAAGCAACTGAGGAAGGGAGAAGAAGGGAAAGTGGAAAGAAAGAAACCGGTCTCATCAGTGAACACTGGTAATAAGAAGTGTTCCCATGTTTTTTGATTTATAAAAACTTTAAAAATGAGTTGTTTTTTTCTGACCTTTTAAAGATACTTACAAATTAAAATGGCACAATGCACAATTTGTAAACATGACACTGAGAAGAAAGCTTCTATTGGAGTAAACTGCAGTCTTTCTGTTCTGCACAACAGATCTATTGTAATTAGCTGATTAGAAATTAGGATAATAAGTCTCCAGCAATCATCAATTTAAATTGGATGCAGGAGGCGCGCACTTGTGGGATCTGTTCAGTGACAGTAAAGCCCTGGAGAAAGAATTTCCCGGCGGACGAAATATCACATCTGGGTGAAGCATGTCTGCTTCCTTCTTTTCTTTTATTTAACAAATATCACATGGGCAGAAGGAATGTCAAGGCCGACTCCTCCCACGCAGATGGAGAACACACATCTGCACCGTGATGACACACACAGCAGGAACTGTCCTGGTCTGCAGCTAAAATCATTCATTTTCATTAACTTACGCTTCGCAGATACTACCAGGTTTAGGAATAAATGCTGCCGTTTCGCTGACTGGTGGGTTAAAGGCTATGGCCTAAAAACTAGAGTGGAAAGAATAGTCGTATTTCAAGATCACACTAAATTTGAAATATTGCAAACTGAGAGAAATTCAGTCATAGTAAAAACGCAGGATCCAAAAAAAAATTCTTTGCAGATACATCTACCAAGTCCTTTCCCCGATTCTTACTATTGTTCCTGAGAAGAGGCACTTGCCCTCCCAAGTCATAATGATCTTGGAAAATCTTCCAAGGAAGAGAAAGAGTATCACGTGACAGAAGCCAAACATGTCTTCAGTAAACTTCAAAAATAATCCAGGAGACAGGAAGACACTTCTACTACCTGGAGTGAGTGCATCCTGATTTCCTAGTTATCTCACATCCTGTAGGTCAGATGGTATATATCTCAAATTATAATTACAGCTAACGTTTCTGAGCACTGAATGTGCCAATTTGTGAACACAGATATTATATTTTAAAACATTCGCAGATATATGCTCCTTTGGCTCTCCCTGCACACCCGAGAGCTGGGTGCTATGCAACTCTGAAGTCTGTAACTCAGCTCACTGCTGCAGTCCATGCAGTTTTAACTGAAATAAATTTCATACATAACATCAAGAAAATTTGCCAATGACCTGTTGCTATTTCAGCCATCACTTATTTCTATTTATTACTTACATAATAAGGGCTTATTATATTCCCCAAGTGCCTAAAGGCTTGTAATTATTATTAATTCCTCACACCTATAATCCTAGCACTCTGGGAGGCTGAGGTGGGTGGATGGCCTGAGCTCACAGGTTCAAGACCAACCTCATCCAGAGCAAAACCTCATCTCTGAAAATAGCCAGGCATGGTGGCAGGGTCCTATAGTCCTAGCTACTTGGGAGGCTGACGTAAGAGAATCACTTAACCCCAAGAGTTTGAGGTTGCTTTGTCTACCAAGGGTGACAAAGTGAGACTCTGTTTCAAAAAAAAAAAAAAAAAAAAAAAAAAAACATTACTACCAATTCCTCCAGTCTTCATTCTCCATTCTAAGATAAAACCCTACAAAAAAACAGGGAGTTGGGGGAGGGAGTCTGCTAAACCTTTAGGTATAGGATTCTTTGGTATTCACAGTATTTGATGTGACCAGATAATGGCAAATAAAACAAGAAAATAAGAGGGAGTCAGCGACTCTATCACCAATACACAGCAGTAGCTCCATCTTTAACAGGGAAGGTCAAAACATCCATCCATCCTTGCACTAATTCTCTAATGTTTAATTCTCAATGTTTGACTGTGTGTGACTCTTACTCTCATAATATGAACGCTATAAAATGAAAAATTAAAAGGAAAATATTGACAAACTTTTGAATTGTTATGAAAGTTCAGGGGTGGCGCCTGTGGCTCAAGGAGTAGGGCGCCAGCCTCATATACCAGACGTGGTGGGTTCAAACTCAGCCCTGGCCAAAAACTGCAAAAAAAACAACAACAAAAAAAAAACAACAAAAAACAACAACAACAACAACAAAAAAAGGTGAAGAAATATCTTCAAAATATTATTAAATAGATAAATGCTTTGAAAGTTCAGCCATTCATTCACTCATTTAACTAGGACTTTTTGAATGCCTTTAATATACTTAACTTTTAACAATAGGATGGTGAACAAAACTTTGGAGAATTCTGCTAGGGAATAGAGATGAATCAAAACCCACAAATAAACATAAACTTTCAACGATGAGAGCAACTCAGAAGCACCTGGTGGAAGGAGAATGGAAAACAACCACCTCTCCCCAGCCTGTGAGGGCCAGAAGGGCTTTCCTGAGAAAGTAACACTTCAGCTGACATCTTAAGGTTGAACAGGAGTTAGCCAGGTAAAGCATGTGGGGGATTAAAAGCATCCCCCCAAATTGAAACTGTATGTGTAAAGACCCAGGGGCAAGAGAGACCTTTTCAAATACGGAAGCTAAATGGATGTCCCTGGAGCTGAGACAGGAGAGTAAGGACTCCCCAGGCAGATGCTATCCCAAGAGCAGAGAGAAACCATTCGCAAGCTCAAAGCAGTGTCAAGACTAAACTGACAACACGTCAAAGAATGAAGGGGGTCAGGGAGGTAATGAGCGCAGAAGGAAAGGTTGGCCAGCCGGTTTGGAGGCCGTGAGTGTGGTGGTAGAGACGAAAGCGAAATCCACAGGAGCTGGTCGTGCACTGAGCAGGAGGCAGGAGGAAGAGAGGGTTGGACTTCGACAACTGGATGGATGAAAGTACCGCTGGCTGAGATGGCAAATACTGAGAAATAGTGATGGGAAATACCTGGGGTTCAGCTTGAGAAGTTCTGGGCTTGGAGTGTTTTGACCCGGCAAACAGGACCCATGAAGCACAGTAACCAGGAGTGCAGGGAGGCAGTGTGGGCTGGAGGATGCCGGTGTGGGTGAGGTTCTGAGGGAGGGGCACAAGAGGGAGAGTCTGATTAACACTGCTGAAAGGTCAATTTTAAGAGTAGAGATGAAAAACAACCTGCACCTGTCTTTTCCTTTTTCTATGGAATTCACACTGAATTTCTGAGAGACTGCACACTGAGGTCTGAGAGATCCTGCACTGTGAGGATAGGCAATGGGCTCAGAGTCACAGATAAGGCAGCAGCTGTCCCTGGAACATTCTTCCAAGTGGTGTACACAGTCTACTCAAGGAGCAGGGGTTGGAAGTCTCCAGACATTCTGCTCATCTGCATTAACCTGCATAGAACACTTAGACAAGTACTCACCGTCTCCACCCCAGTTGTGAATAATTCTACAGGGAAGCAGAAGAAGCAAACAGGAAAGTATGTCAAAAATCATAGGGAAAGTCCAAGATCAGCAGAGTCAATGAAGATTTTTATTTTTTTAATGAAAAGAATCACTAAATGGAATGTGTTAAAATTACTGGGTTGGTTCTAATGCCAGAACGTCAATAAAAGATGATACTGCACAAGTCGCAGTCTCTAGACCCGTTCCACCTATTGGATCTTCAGTTTTTAATATTTTAAAAAGTGTACTCATTTTCACCAGTGAAACAGTGAAAAGATCTATAAAAATAAAGTTCTTAATCCTTCATAACCCTTCCATCCCTACCCCTCAAGAACTAATCAATAGTACTGGCCTGCCACGGACCATTTTCTACATTACACAGTAATAGCGTGATATGCAAAATACCCACAAGCACATGTTTTGTTTGATTTTATAAAATTAGAGATCACAGTAAGTGCATTACTCTGTAAAGACAAAGGCATAATGGACATGCCTTAAGTGTAATATTTATAAATATATCTTAAATTTATGTTCTATTAACCACATAATATTCCTCATTGTGGATATACTAGGATGCCTTCATCTACTTCCCTAATGATGGACATTACAGTTATTGAAACTTTATCTTACAATTCACATGATACAAAAGATCAATTTTCATATAAATATTAAAGCATCCTATACTGTCTAATATTGCAAATGTCTGTCAAAGGACTTTATTACATTGTGACCCCATTACATTGTAACATGAATTTTAAGTAAATTTAAAGGCTATTATAAAATAACATGTTTGTGATCAATGATGGAATTTGCGCCACTGGCCCACTTCTCTGCCATTTCTTACCGCAAACTCCTTTATCAAGTGGTTTAATACCTTTTACTCATTTTTTTTTTTTTTGGCTGGGCCGGATTTGAACCCACCACCTCCAGTATATGGGGCTGGAGCCCAACTCCTTAAGCCACAGGTGCCACCCACTTTTTTCTTATTTTTTTGAAACAGAGTCTTACTATGTCGCCCTCGGTAGAGTGCCATGGTGTCACACCTCACAGCAACTTCAAACTCTCTTGGGCTAAGGCGATTCTCCTGCTTCAGCCTCCCAAGTAGCTGGGACTATAAGCACCCACCACAATGCCCGGCTATTTTTGGCTGTAGTTGCCATTATTGTTTGGGGGCCCTGGGCTGTGTTTGAACTCGCCAGCTCTGGGGTCTATGGCTGGTGCCCTAGCCACTGAGCACCAGGCACCAAGCCCCTCTTCTCTTTTTTCTTGATCCCCATCTTAGTAGGCTTCAATCACCACCCATCTCTCAAAAAAGTTCCTTAAAAAAGTCAGGAAGGATTTGCATCTTGCCAAATCCATTGTTGGTGTTTGTCTTTCTCTTGCTCCACCAGCAGCATTCGGCCCCTGTTGACCTGCCTTCTTTAAAGAATTCCTTACTTCTCTCTCAGCTTAATGTCTCTCTGGGTTTTCCGCCTATTTCACTAACTACTTCAGCGTTCTGTGCTATCTTCATCCTCCCCCACTAATACATAAGCTCCAGGAAGAGAGAGCTCTCAGGAGGTTTGTTTCTTTTTGTTTGTGTGTTTGTGTATCCAGCACTTAGAGTAAGACTGGGCACGGACAGGACCAGAAAGCACATCTATATGGTGCTGGAAAACTACTGGCTTCTAACTGAATTGTCAAGGTACATACTGGCCACTTTGGCGCTGCAGATTCCCTTTCTCACTGATTTGTGAAACACCTAAACAGCATTGATTATATTCTTTTATCAACCAACTTTTCTCCTGACTTCCCCACTTTAGTTAAGAAAACATCATTCACTCCCCGGACCAACTAGGATATTCAGAAGCATGTCTAAATCGAAACTTAGTCAGTTGCCAACTCTCATGAGGTTTTAGATTTTCCATATCCCCTAACTGGATCTCTTGGCTTTTATCCTTCCCAAGCTCATATTGTTCCTTACACTGGTAACAGATTAGTCTTCCTGAACCGGAATACTGAGCACGGTATTTTTCAGCTGATAAAAGGTATTAACTCCCTGAAAACAACAGGTTAAATGGAAACTTCTCAACTGGCCTTCAGGGCCCTACTAAACACAAAATGTTTCTCCCACCTTATCTTCATACACAGTAGGACCTCTCTGTAAGCTGCCCACCCAAGGGACTGACTGGGTCAACACACAGAGGTGTCAACATAAGGAACTAGGCCTATTGTACTGACACGTACATGTGGCACATGTCCCGTCCATGGTAATTAGGCAGCTTCAGGAGGTCACCAGCGTAGGGTCAGCGATGGAGGCTCCGCTTCAGTTCCTCCTAAGTATACAAGAAACTGAACTGTCTCTTCTCCCTGAAGTCAGTGCATGCTTCATCCAGAAGTATCACTAATTTTACAAATTCCTTTTTAACCTAGCACGACCTT